TTCCATCTGTCCGGAAAGATCGACCCTTCGAAACATTTATTGAAAATGTAAAACAGCGGCTCCACCAGTACCAATCCACAATCCTTGAATATGTACGGTGGTATGCCATCCGGGCCCGCGGACCGCTTGGGCTGCAGGCGCTGCAGCGCGCGGCGCACGTCCTCCGGCCGCAGCCGGCCCAGCTCCACGCGCGCTGCGGCGTTGGCGCCGCCAGCCGCCTCCACCGCTGCGCTCACATTCAGTTCCGCGCGCTCCGTACTATACACCGCGTGAAAATACCTAGCAAACTCATCCGCAATCTGTTGGCCCGAGAGTATCTCACCGTTGTTCAAGATCGTTTTTGTGCCAGTATTACCTCTTTTGGATTTGACGTAGTTCCAAAAAGATTTTGGATCGTCTCGCAGGTTATGTTGCACTAATATTTCATATTGCGTGCGAGCCGATTTAATCTTTTGTTTTACCCTGGTTCTTAGTTGAGCGAACGCGTCATAATCTATTTTCATCCTACTCCTTTTATACCGTTTATGAAGAACAGTTTTATGCTTCAAGTCACTAATTATCTCAGCCGTATACCATACAGGATAGATATTGTTATGATTAGTCTGAATAGGCTTTTTTCTAGGAACACATTCGTCAATAACTGAATTAATAGTGTCATAAAAAAACACTAAGCCGTCCTCCAATTCTAAATTATACAGTGGCATCCAATCTACGGTCGCTAGTGAGGAATATAACAACGCAAAGTTGGCTTTGTTAAAATTCCACTGTTGCACGTTATGCTCACGGCAGCCGCCAGAGGGCGCGGGCGACGCCGCCGGCGGTACGGCTGCGCGCGGGCCGGTGGCGCGGCGCGCGCGCAGCCGCACCGCCACCTCGAGCGGCGGGTGGTGCGCGTCCACAGGCACGAGCGGCGCCGCCGACTCGCTCACGCTCACCCCCACTCCCTCCTCGAACGTGCTCAGCACTAAATCCAAACAACGATTATTGCAATTACCTATTCTGTTACTCTGAGTGAATGAACAATAAGTTTGAAAATATTCATAATAATTAATTACATACGACGAACAAGAATGCAAATTGAAATCACCTATTACTACTATCTCACTATAATGGTTACAAAACCGTTCAATAATACTAAACAATAACATGTATTCACTGTCACTACTATTTGGTGGAATATAAACCACACATAACAAAAATAAAAATCTGTTCCGATAGACAGCGGCGCAAGCTAGTTCAAACGCATGCTCGTCAATGTTTATGTTACTCGGTATCGGCACTTGACGCAGCTCGAAACGCGGTGTGGCCACGAGAAACGCGCCGCCCTGCTTCCGCCCGTCGTCCCGGTCACAGCGAATGATGTTATATCCCGATGGTACTATTTCTGCATCATGGATTGATTTATTGCAGCCAGTTTCTGTGACGGCGAATAAATCAGCATTTGACGCTGATACACCTGCATAAAAATCATCCAATTTTGTTCGGAGTCCTCTGACGTTTTGATAGTATATCTCAACTTGTTTAGTCGGGATTTTTTGATTTCCCGACTGATTTCCGAAACCACACCCATTCACAAAACTCGATATTCACAGGCCAGTTCTCTGGTTTACATAACTCACTGTATTTGCTCTCCGGGACTCCTATAATAAAGGACGCGTAGTCTCTTTCCGTCTTATGTTTAATTCTGTCTACTTTGATAGGGACGTCCTTGCCACAGATATTTTGAACATATTTTTCTAGTTTTTCTGTTGAGGTTTCTGCTTGGAGACGCCATACGTGTAAGTACTTCTTTCGTTCGGTTCCTTGTATATCGACTAGGTGTGTACTTCCGCCTTTTTTGACTTCACTATTAGGATACCTACTTTTTTTCCTCTGTACAACCGTCCAATCTTGTGCATCTACAGTTCTATTATTTTGGACAGTGTCTTCCACGTTACATTTTTTGATGCTACTTGTATTTTCCTTTGCTTGCATCTCCGCCTTAGTCGGTAAGCTCGCTGGTTTCGTGGCCCCACTCGTAACTTGATTTTGTGCAACTACCCTCGCAAACGAAACTGTTAGAGGCTGTTTTTGTTGAACTGGTGCAGTTATTATCTCCTCTTTTTCAGTTTTTGACTTCAACATCTCTTCCAGTTGCTTATTTTTTTCTGTCAGGGCCATGATTTTAGTTTCTAGTAGATCGACCTTTTGCGCCTTTTCTTGAACTACCGTCATTATAGTTCTTAACTCTTGTAGTTGAGTTTCGGTTTTAAGAAATCTATTTTTAAGCAGTTCATATTCCGTCGCCTGTTCGTTCATACGTGCCTTCATTTCCGAGCGAAACTCGCGTAGCTCTTCTAATATTTTGCTCTCGGTATCAAGGATGGACAACTCATTTGGATTGAGACGACCACCTCTTTCAGTGTTGATGAAGCAAGTTGGTGTAAATGTTTTGTTCATAATGGTGCTTCCACGTACCGGTGTATTAGTGTTATCCCGCTTTGGAACAGCGCACATGCATTCTGGACATACCCATGCATCCTTGTATTCCTGAGTGAAACTTGCGAATTTCTCCGCTGTCACGGCGATACACTTCAGGTGATACATTTTCTTACATGGTTCTTGAGAACACTCCATAAATAATATATCAAATATTGCGGCATCGCACCCACCACATTTCGTACCCATTTGAGTGATTTCTCACTGCTTTAAGTATATTAACTTTAAAATTTATTCACTAGCAATATAAACACGTCCGCTCGAGTTCAATTTTGTGCCATGTAGTTTCATGCAGAGGTCGTCCGCCATAACCGTAAATAACGGTGACCGCATGCAGCTTACGTTCCACGAATTCTAACAACCCTTTTCGCTCGCAGTTAATTAATGTTCTTTTGCAAGGGCAAATTGTTTATGGTAAGCCTGACTAATCACCATAGACTAGGAGCAGTGAGTTCTATAGAAAATTATTTGTACAAAATTAGTAACGAAGACCAAGTGGACGAAAATGGTCGTATTTTTTTATTCAAATAAAATCATTTTTTTGTAAAAACATAAGTGAACATGTGGAATTCAGGTGGTACATAATGAGTAGAACTCAATGTTTGGCCTATAAGTGGCGTACAAATTAGTCTCATATAAAGTTAATTAAAACTCATGTCTCAGCAATTTCCTTAAACTGCTTCTTCAATCGATAAATTTTCCGTTTATTTGCAAAAAATAAATCCACTAAAATAGACCTAGAAGTCTAATGCCCGTTTTCACCATCATCTTAAAGTGACCCCTATGAAAACAAAATTCCTGTTATGTATTACCATAGAGGTCACTTAAGAATTAGGGATTGATGGTGAAAACGGGCATCAGGATAACTAAAATGTAAATGAGGCCTTAAGTCTTAGAAAAGAAACCATTCTTAGAATGCAAAGAGTATTGGTTTCTCATTTTAATAACACTTTGGAGTCCAGCCAAATAGGTAGGTACTCCAGACTACAGGGAAAATCCAGGCGGTCCCAGCCCTAGCATAGCCATTTTCGAGTTGCATTTTCGTTGCCTGTTTTTTAACTTTTCAAAATTGGAACGCGCCGTTATGGTGACTGCCAGTGTTTTATATTACTTTTTAAAGTCACGGCTGAACGCCTCGCTTTTTACTGGCCAGTTACAGTTTTGACTTTTTACAGAAAATAAAGAGAAAAAAAGGTTGCACAGATTTAATAAATTAAATATCCTTGGACATTTTTACACTGCGCTTCTAGTCCCAAACTAAGCAAAGCTTGTACCATGGGTACTAGACAACGGATATAAACATACTTAAATACTTTTTTTTTGTAAATACATACACATTATACACAGAAAACACCCAGTCCAATACAAACAAATATGTTCATGCACACAAATATTTGTAGTGCGGGAATCGAACCCGCAACCTCCGGAATAGTAGTCCGTTTCGAACCACTACACCAAACGGCCGATGAATATTTAAAAGAATTTTTTTTTTTTCAATGTGAATATCTCCTACGAATGTGTGGAAATTTTTTACTCATTTTTATAAATACAGAGATGATATCACGAATAAAAGGCAGAGCAGAAGACCTAATAGAATTAATTACAATAACAGATGTACAGAGGTCTCAAAAGGTCATCTTGTTCCATTTCAAGTCTTATTTCATTGGCTAAAAGCTTAAGATTAATAGTTTTTTGCGACTCCGAGGTTTCAATGTCGCATATTGAGTCACGCTGTCTGGTTTGCATTCACTAGATTAGCTAGCGAATCGATTCAATGTATAATCACACGATTAGTGACGTCAGAATACACAATTAATACATATTTATTTTTAAAACATTCGTAAAAATGACAATGATTTGGGTTGGAGACCCCTCGTGGTTGATTAGTCTCGCTGGGTTATCTTAATTAAGTATGATGATTTCATTGAATTTCTGTATTTTTACCCGACTGCGCCAGAAGGAGGGTTATGTTTTTTAATAATGGTACTTATTAAAAGTAATTACAATTTCTACGGATCCGTGTGTGACGTATAGAGTGACAGTAAACCCATAATAAAGATTAGGTAAGCAATCCCGTAATGATTTTGCATCAAGTGACTTTACATAGTCCTTTGGGGTTCCCACAGCTGGGCTTACTCTTGAGTCTACTCGTTATCTTCGCACAGCAGTCCTACCTATCGGAATAAGGTGATAGAGTCACCAAGGGGATTTTGGGTAGGCTTAGAACTGACAGCGGACCGCCCCTCACTTGTTAGAAGAGTCCTTCCTTCGTGATAACTTATTGCCTTTCCCTAGGGCAAAATATGACAATAATAAAGTACATACTTACAAAGTAAACGTTTAAGTTTAAACTTACTGACCAATTATATTGTCAGTTTAATCTATAGATACTTATAATAAATCTGTAGAGAGGTCAATTCTGTACAGGAAATATATTTTCAAAATAACTATCAGGGGGTGATTAGTGATTGATACTGATACCAAAAATGCAATCAGTAAAATTTTTGTCTGTCTGNGAAACACACATCTATAATTGATAATTTCTCGATGGGTACTAAGGTAAATAAAAGAAGAGGTGCCTGCTTGCAAAGTAGTTTTGTGTTAGATAGCGGTCCTATCGGTCTTCAATATGAACCGGAATATAGATCCCCGCTGCAATCAGCTGTTGAAAAAGTTAACGAACTGCCCTCGTTAGCGGCACAATTATCATACACAACAATTGCTGGGGATACGTGTGTCCCTTTCGATTGCATGACAACCGACGAAACAGAGCACAAAGAGGCGCCAGCGGCGCCTACCGCGGTTTCGGTAGGAGTGAAAGAGAGCAGCTGCCGGGCGACCGCCGGATGCGCCGACTATGTTGGAGTGAGCGGGACGGAGATGGAGGCGGAGCGTGTTGAGGCCTCTATAACGGGCACTGCGGTTTCGGCGGAACCGGTCCTATCGGCAACTTGCGCGGGCGACGCGAACGCGTCTCCTACCACAAGTTCGAGATCGGTGAGTGAAAACGTTATGAGCGCGATAAATCGTGCTGCGCGAGTGCCGCGAGTTAATATGTCAATCCCAAGTGCGAGTTCGGGTCCACTGGTAAGGGACACTAATTACTTCGAATGGCAGGTAGTGAAAAATAAATCGGCGAAACGTTATAAACTTATAGGTCAAAAGGGCTGCGCAGTGACTGAGCCAAATGGTAAATTTAGAGCGGCTGATGTCAAAGTGCCGCTTTTAATTTCGAATGTCAGTAAGGACACAAGTGAAGATGACATTATTACATACATTAAGGACAAAACAAGTGAAATAGTGGCTTTAAAAATGATAAATATGAAAAAAAATAAGGAGTACAATGCATATAAGTTGTTTGTATCTAAGAGTAAATTAAACTTATTTCTTGATGATAACTTTTGGCCTAACGGTATAACTTTTAGGCGTTTTGTACGCTTTATGTACAAAACAAGATCAGAGAAGTTAGGTACAGTTTCTAAATAATTATTTTTATGTCTATGGACCCTAAGTGTGATCTTAAGTTAATTAGTTTCAACTGTAAGGGTGCTAAACGTTCACTAGATGACATTCGTGAGTTGTGTAAAGTTTATGACTTGGTGGCCTTACAGGAAACATGGTTACTCCCCCATGATATACCGATATTGGGAACTATATATAATAATTTTGAATACACCGGTAAGTCGGCGGTAGATACCTCTGCGGGTTTATTGGTTGGCAGACCATATGGGGGAGTAGCCATCCTATGGAGAAAGGGTATTTTTGATAAGGTTACAATTCTAGATTGTAAAAGCACCCGTTTGGCTGCAATCCGGGCTACATTGGGTGATCGCTCCATTCTTGTCTTTACGGTTTATATGCCTACTGACTCTCTCAACAATTTGCCGGTCTTTACTGAGGTGTTGGGTGAAGTAAGCGCAATAGTGGCGAGCGAAGATGTTGAGAGTCTATTTGTCTTGGGTGATTTCAACGCTCATCCTAATGAGTTATTCTTTAAAGAACTTAACAACTTTTGTCTTGACCAATGCTGGGTTTGTGCCGATCTAGAAAGGCTCGGGTTGCAGTCGGACACTTACACATTTGTCAGTGAGGCCCATGGATGCAGACGATGGCTTGACCATTGTATTGTTTCAATGTCAGCCGAAAAAACCATTGTAAGGATGAGTGTAATAGAGGATGTATTTATATCAGATCATTTACCCCTACTTATACAGTGTAATTTAAATGTTGTACGGCCTAAGTTATTGTCCCAGAGCATACGTCGTAGCTCTGNGTGTGTGTTGTGTTTTTTTTTTTTTATGTTGCTTTCCCTCCTAAAAATTAGCCTTTAAAAACATGGTGTAGAATCACTAGGTACTTGCTTATTTCCAGTTTTTATTAAAACACTGCAATTTTGGTTGGTTCTGTTAGATTATGGAACTTTAATAATGTGTATGATTGACCAATATCAAATTCTTACCCACGACGATTCATAAAAGTTGTTAGGGTTTCAACCTCAGTTGTTGTAATCCATAAGATAGAAGAAGTAGCAGGTTAGAATCTCGACTGAATACATTTGAATTCAGTGTGATGAGCACATATTTTTGAGAAAATTAAGAATTAACCATAGGCTCTTAAGTACTACTTACATTCCCTCTAATATGGTCAAGTGAAGCGATGGCTGGTTCACTCGTCATGTCTGTGAACAGGCGCTGGTTCGCTGTTTAATATACCACGCAATTTTGTATACCCATTATACACTATACAAGAATGCATGGTACATTCAGTGAACTGCTCCTCAATCGAATGTACCTACTACTGCTATTTCTATTTATTTATATTAACCGGCAGACAGTGGTGACTGAGTTTGTTGCGGCGCTTCTTCTCAGCACTTGCCAAATGTTGGTCTCGAAGCGCTGGTAGGGTAAAAAGATTATGAGACATGTAGAGGCTCCTTAAGAGCAAAATGACGATTTGTAAGAACTATTTATTAGTCTAAACAAATAAAGAAATTTTGACTTGACTTGACTTGACTGGGGCACTTTTTCCTCATGTAAATGATAATACAGATATCACTTAAAATTAGCACAACAGTAACAAAAGATCAACAAAGGTTCGCTAAACCTTCATTCATTCATTCTCCTCGCATAGACGTTTAGCAGAACTAAGCTCGCCTTGACCCAGTGCGTAGCCCTAAACTGTGCTAAGTGACGTCTAAATAGACTACACTTACTTCGCAATATCTTTGCAGGTTCATGGAAATCCATAACTTTATCTACAGGGACTATTCCCACCTCTTATTCCCACCGCTGCAACTCCTGTTTAGCCAGGATCTACAGCTTGACCGCAAGAAACCCAACCAGTGAAAGCCAAGTTTGTCCCGGGGAAAAGTTAAACTGTCATTGGGCCCGCAACAAAATTAATCAGAAAAACTTCAAGATCATAAAATGCCGTGGTGTCGACATCTCAAAAACAAAAATGGTAAATAGTCACAATAATTCATTAATTTTATTTTATAATTTGCCACTTGTATGAATCACATCCTCATACACAGTCCTCAACACCATACATCAGGGCTCATGCAATAATTCATCCGAAGGCCGAGCCGTGTAGTCAAATGGACCGGAAAATAAACAGAAAAACCAAATCACTCATATTGCAGTGGACAAATCTTTGAAAAAAACGAAGCAAAAAACGCTCCATTTTTTGCCAGTAGCTGCGAACGGATCAAGCATAGAAACATATTCACGAACACGGTCACGATCAATTCTTAAAACCCAAGTAGTAATTCAAAGATTTACTTACACGATCTATCTTTGAGTAGGTAGACTTATCAGACCTTATTATTATGTTTTAAATTACAGATCGTTCTAGCACAGTATAGCTCATCTAAATACTGTGGTTCTAGGCTGTGTCAGCTACACAACTTGCAACTTCATTATTTGCATCAGCACCATATGAGATGTAGGCATTATTTATTACCTAGGTACCTACCTCATGACCTGCCTTCAGCAGTGAATTTGACACGATGAACCCAAAACATGGCTGAACTAATGAGTCTTTCTACCAAGTCGTGCCAGCCAGAGCCACATACGTAGAATGTCCATAATAATTCTATGATATTTTCGTTCACCGAATACTAAAGGTTATAACTACGCCCAGCTAATGTCATCCCGCTTATTGCTGTTGTTCTAAATGATTGACAGTTAGGGCTTTCTGAATAATATTGTAGAGCAACCTCGGGTGATGCATATTCATTGTCGTATACTTACATATTCAATTATTCCGATGGGTATTTGCAATATCTTAAGTTGCGAAATCTTTATGTTTAAATAATAACAAAACCTTAATAGAACTTTTCAAGTAGGTTTGATAGAAAAATCTGTCTTATAAAAATGTCTTCGTTCGTTTCAGCCAAATGACGTCCACTGCTGGACAAAGGCCTCCCCCAAGGTTTTCCACAATGCACGGTCCTGCGCTGCCCGCATCCAGGCTCTTCCCGCGACCTTTACCAGATTTACCTCTACCAGCGACCAGAAAAATGTCTTATAAAATAGTACAGAGATTTTCTTTTTCTGTATGATGATGATATGTATGTGTCGCCGTAAAATTGTGAATTCCGTCAGATTATAATCTGACGTAGTGAAATTACAATCTAACCTAACCTAACCCACTGTTAGTTTACAATCTAACGCGTTATATTATAAACTGACAGAGTTCACAATTTCACGTTGACATGTGCATTTCATTATTTTAATTTAATTAATACATTCCCACCGATCTTTCTGAGTACTACTTTTGAGCCTTCAGTCATTATTAATAATTATTGTTTTAACAAACATAAATAAAGCCTCTGAGTAAGTGTTAGTCTCATACAAGGAAACAACTTCAGTGAATCATAATTAATGGTTTCAAACCATACAATTTCTGACAAAAAGCATGCACAATGGCAAAATTTGTGTTGACGACCCAAGGAAGTGTTATTAGACCATTTTAGAGCACCACATAATTATAATAACACATACAAACCTACCTAAATACCTATTATAATATTAGGCAAGGTTCCCAAAACTATGGGAAACTATTTACTAGCCGCGTTAGGAGTAAACACATACAGTTACACATTACCTATAGTTCGATATCACATTTTTCTCTACGATAAAAAAGGTTTTTAGGGGATGATTAACTTAGCGTGGCAGTTTCAGCGCATCCTTTGCATTGAGTTACCACCGCATTATCTTGAAGTTTCTTTTATTAAAATATATTTTCCTCTGGCCCAACAAGGGCTATTTAATAAAACTAGTTCTGCCAGCGTTTACAGAGACTTGACGATTTTCATGCAAACTCGAGAATTAGAGTTTCTTTTGTTTTTCTCTTCACCAACATATCATTGTCCCGAAGTGTTAGTTGAGTACCTAAGCTATTATTACGGGCCTATACACTAATAAAATTGCTAGCTGCTTCCTAATTTTATCCAGGATTCCAGGTTCCATCCTATCGACCCAATTTGATGGTCCATTCGAATATCTTGGCCGGACAGCCAAACGACAATGTCACAACAAGTGGCAAGACATAGTCACGTAATATTTATTCAAAGCCGATCGGGTCACGGTCAGGTGGACTATTGCTGCATTGTGCGACTTCCTGCCATTGAAAATGTATTAGAACGTCTGGATTTAGTCATTGCCTCCATTTTATCTAGGTCTAAAGGCCCATGTTCTGAAAAACGGTCAAGAATAAATGTGCACTAGCCGAATAGTTAAACCGTGGTTAAACGATGCACAACTGTTTTGTTAGCAATTTCTGTGAAGAAACTTTATCTAATAATGTAGGTAAATGAATTAGCTAGAAAAATGAACTCCAAAAGCAGTGATTCAATAATTTAATTGTGTTTTACTTAATTTTTACAAAATAATTTACATCATTCCGCCGTACTTCTTAAGCTTTTCGTTGAAACCTAAGTCTTCCATTGCACTTCGCTGCTCTTGTGTGCAGTATTCTGAAAAGAAAACAATGTGTGATCAAATAGTTGAAGAAAACTACTAAAAATCCTGTGTAACCAGGATCTACAGCTTCACCTCTAATAAAACAAACCAATAAATGCCAAGTTTGTACAGGGGGAAAGATAAACTGTCATTGGACCCGCATTGAAATTAACCAGGAGAACACAAAAGTTCGAAGTCAAGAACTTCAGACCCAGAGGTCCCGGGTTCAACTCCCTGTGGGGGCAAAAGTTTTGCTCAGTTTGGTGGTAAGCTTGTTCTAAGTCCGCGTGGTTAGCGACCATCATCTTAGTTAAGTCTGTCGCCATAACAACTATAGCATTGTTGTGTTTCGGCAGTTGGAGGGAATTTCTCTTTGGTTAAGGATTCCACGTGTAGTTCGCTTCCACCTTCCGCCTGATAATAATTTTCCATCAGGTGAGATGCAGGCCAAGAGCTTCCTTGACTTACTTGACACATGGTCCCATGTCCCCTAGATGGGGCAGAGGGCGTCCACAACAGTCCTCCATCTCGTTCGGTCTTGAGCTTCTCGCTTGATCTCGCTCCAGGTCTTGCCGATCTTCTTCGCCTCGTCCGCTACAGTGCGCCGCCAAGTTTGCCTGGGTCGACCACGTTTGCGTTTTCCTTGGGGATTCCAATCCAGAGCCTGCTTAGGGATGTGATCGGGGTCCCTTCGGAGAGTGTGGCCAATCCAGTTCCACTTGCGGCGCTTGATCTGCTGGTCGATCGGAATTTCGTGGCAGCGTTCCAATAGCTCGACGTCGGAGATTTTCTAGGGCCAAGAGCTTCCTTGTTGTGGATAAAAAATACAATAAGTTACTTACGAACAGTACTCGGCTCCCAGCCAATGTACTCGCCAGTCCGTTCGTTCTCCGTCTTCAGCCACTCGTGAAGAGGCGCGAAGTATTCCAACACTCCACCCGCGTCCATGTTCCTTTGACCAGTCAGCACCTCCATAGCGTCGGGCCACGGCTTTGAAGAGCCCATTTGGAGCATGTCACTGGGAATGACGTAGTAAGTTTAAGCCTTTTATCTTCTTGAGCATGCTTAGGTGAATAGTGGCTCTTTCGCTTGAGCATGCTGAAGAGGATACAAGGTTTTAAGCTTGTTATTCATCAGATGTAGTCATTACTTTCTGTGTAGAAATAACAGTACAGCAGGGTATATAATTTAAGACATATTTTTAGTAACACTGCAGAAATAAAGAGTTCGTTTGCTACTTGTAGCTAAAAGGTATAAAAAAGTCCATATCTAGTGCGACCTTAATTCAAAATCACTTTA